AGCTGATGGTTTAGATTTTGCCACGGCAGTTAATTGCAAAAACGACGATGAACTCGCAGATAAAGTATTCTTATAACCTTCATGGGGTATCAATAATTATTAAGTGTAAAAACTCTGCGTCTCTCGATAGGTGTGATTCTGAAAGACTAGACAGAAAATTATGTTCATATACAGGATGTCCCACAAGTCGGTAACGGGCGATAGGCGAAGTCACTGTAGTTATCAGAAAAATATAAAAAAAATCTATGTCGTGTATTTCTCAAACTATAGGCTTTAAAGAAAATTGGAAAAATAGGAAAAATCTACCCCCTTTTTTCATACGCGGAGTATTAATTCATGATTGTGTAGTACCACAACGTATGTGTTTACCGTGCAGGAATACGCCAACAAGCACCTCATTTATGGGAAAAGCATATCTAATGCTATACCCCATTCGTAGTAGAATATCGATGATACTGTCCAGATCCCACATCTTTGTTTCGATTGTCTCTTGAACGTGACGAATGCAATCTTTTCAATGGTTTGCCCTCACTGTGTTGACAGCTCCATAAAAGAAATTTTTCACGTCAGAAAATTTGAATGTTCGTCCTATTGTTTGAAACCACGTAGTTTTTTTATATTTGCCCAAATAATTTCAATGGGATTTAATTCGCAATGATAAGAGGGTAGCTTTAAAACGGTCTGATTTTGGTTTTTAGTTATTTCGTCAGTAACATTAAGATTATACGAGATTTTGTGCTGTCTAACTAGATGGATAAGTTCTGCTTTGACCATATTTTCATTGAAACTAATGCCTTTTGATAGGAGTCATTGATGAATCTCTGCCTTTCTTGTGGACATTGTGGGAAATTTTTCTAGTTTTCTAGTATCGTATGCAGTATTACCAAGTACAATGACGGCATTGTCGTCAAGCTTTGGGAGCATTTTTTCAAACCATCGTCCAAATGAGCTCCCGTCCATTTCTTCATGGTAGTCGGTCGTTTTCGTTGACTCAAACGCCCATAGGGCAGTGGGCACAAAGCGATCCTTACTGCCAACGTGACATAACAAATCGTTGTTCTTTTCCTGGAAATAATTATTTCATATAGGAATTCAAGAAAACTAATAATAATACAAGCAGAACATCAGGTGTGGGTTCCAAATCTACCGGATATAGCTAAGTTAGTGTAGGTGTGTTTTCAGCGTGGACTAATAGATTCAATCTACTTGACACCATCTTTACAACACAAATGACGAATTGGTTAGATACACATACCTGGTTAGTCTATCTAAGAAGGCTAGTCTTGCTGATTTAATTGTAAAGTCAGCCCATACTTTAAGTTTTGAATGTGCTGCTTTTATCCAAGTTTCATTCAAGTAATAAATCTTCCTGCCCTGGTCGCAGTATTTCTTTGTTGATTTTAAATAATTACTTCTCCATAAAATAATCTCTTGGCTGTCCATCAGAATACCATTTCTGCCCCGTTTTCTATACTCAAAATGAAGTTCTTTGAGTAAACTATAGAATGTGGTCCTTTTGAAAGTAGCTCCTGTAATACCTTGTCTATGGTGGGAAGTTCTTGCCTTTCAAATAGTTGATGGACTGTGACATCTGAAGGCATTTCGATCGAAGTTATGAACTGTATCCAACAGCTTCGTGTAATGCAGCCTTTTGTGTGGTGGAGACATTTTTTTGCTTTTTATATTCTTTAATAATGTAGAGAATTGTCTTAGGACATAAGTGTGTTTTGTTCGCCACATGTTTTTCAATATCATGAATTTTCATTTCTAAAATTTCGCTCTTATAAACGTTAAGGACAACTTCTTTTGCCTGAATATTCAAATGTCCCTTCATGTTACGTTTTCGGAGAGGAGACATCACTGAAAAGGAAGCATGGTTGAAGAAAGCATTGGGATAAATATTCTATGCTTCATCTGCTGTATCCATAGATGTCATGCTAACGAATAAAGACACGCTATGTATGCACGGAACATGAAGAGCAACTGCCGACGTCGGTGTGCCGGCGATACCCCGAGCCCCGAGTTCTATCCTGTCGAATCCTGCACTTGTTCGTAGTTTTATAGTCGAATGACTAACAGCTATTGCAACGCTTAGGCGGCTGCCACTTTGCCGCGCTGCATCTTTGTTGTGCCGGGGCGTAAATGGACTACGAATAGGGTATAGTACTGCAGCTAGGCTTTATCGCGAGAGGTACCAAATGCTGCTCAGACATCATTTTAATGTTAAGTAGGGATTATCCTTACTCGCAGCCCTATACGCCAATTATTGATATGACGCCGTGAATGCGTGAGAGGTAGTGAGTATTAGCTTGACTCCTTTTTTGTTCGTAGATTTTAAAAAATTACGGAATATCCAATTACATCCAATTCACCAGAAATCCAGCATACGACATCTTTTATTTACGTTTCAATTTCGCCGGGGTCTGGGGATTTTGATGCGGATATTATTTCTGTTTTCTTCTGTACCCTGTTCTGTACCAACTGCTCTCTTTAACTGCGTATGGGAATCAAACAGCAGACACGGTTATACTAAAGTAGTTTTGAAACAAAGTTATACAATCCCTGACCCCACAATTTTTAAAAATCCTCAAACTGTTTTTCACCTTTCATCGAGTTTCTGCCGCTAACAATGCTTTGAGTAACTTTGAAATTCGAAAGTTTCATTTGTAGATTATATACCCGGGTTGCAACTGCTGTGATGAGTTACTTAAAAACATATATTTTGATACTTTCAAAATGATGGCACCATTTATACCGAAAATTGATACCAACTTGCTTATTTCAATTAGGACATCCTGTATGTTATCCAGTTTTTGGATTCCACGCAGGATTCTAAACAAGTTTTATGTATATCGTCTTGACACATCGCAAAATTTGGGGAAGATTGACAAATCTATGTTAGGTCAATGAATAAATTATAACATCTTTTCTCGTATTCTTGTCTTTACCTGACAACTACTTTAGTAGACTCTTCCAGATTCAAACGACAAATAGTACAGGGTGGTAAAAAAAGAGGGTTGAAATATTGAGCATTGAAGATAAGGTTAATTTTGTACCTCTTGCTTAAATTTTCGATATGGCTTTTTCGATTACTGAACCTCCCTTGGCCATAATTAATTAGTGCAGGGCTATCCAACATACGGCCCGCTTCACGGGTCATGTATACGTACAGGGTGACTTTGAAGTTGAGTCATTAATTTTCAGATAATGATTGTAGAAGGAAGATAAACCAAAATATGTGTGTAAAAATAAAAAAATAAATAAAAAAAAAATGTTACCTTGTTTAATAAAGTATCGTCCCGACAAGTATTTCAGTGCGGACCTGTATTTGATCGTGCGGTCTTGGAGCAGCATGCCCTGACCTGTGAGGTCTTAAGTCACCTGATTCACGAGCCCTTTGTACTACATTAACAAAGGCACGAGGGGTTGGTTGCACTCGATTGGGAAACCGATTCGCGTAAATCCGTGATGCATCCGGGAGCATTTTGTAAAGACTGCCCCCCCGTAAATAAGAATCATGTCCACAAGTTCAGCATTTTCGTAAACATGTGCCACTTTTGATTTCGTTTGAGCCACGCAACAAACACTATTCACTATTCGTTAACGCGTTATCGACTGACGAAAAACATCGTGATAAACGTTTCAAATTCTTTCACTTTTATGTTTCCGATGCGATGAACCGGTCAGGCGGATTATATCCGTTGTCGCCAAACACGAACATACATATAATATTATTAATGAGACAGGGCGGTACTCAAACTTCCAAAGGGCTATAACTTTGTTACTTTAATTTTACCAGAAAAATGGTAGAGGAAAAAACATTTCTTTTGATCAGATCTACTCACTGTTAAAATAAATGACTCAACTTCGAAGTCACCCTGTATATTACATGTATAAATTACTCTCAAATACAGAATATGCACAATTCTTACATTAACGATAAAATACAATAACATGTGACGCCACTGGCGACCGATAGCAGGCCGCAGCGAATTTACTGGAAAATGACCATCTCTCGATCATCCCCGAATATTCGAGAAGCCACGGGCGTGTATATAAGAAGGTTGAATCAAGCGAGACAGGCAGTTTTGTTCTAGTGCTAGTGCGTTTCAGTACACAGCAACTCTGAGGCCTTTTTAAGTGAAATACTCCGTGAAATATGTCTTCACAGAAACTACAAGTAACGAACGAACATCGAGTTTATAATGACCGTTGGGAATCAGAATATTTAATCTCAAACAATAATAATAAACTTCAGTGCATTGTTTGTATGCAAGTCCTATCGGTTCCTAAAGAATATAATATGAAACGAAATAACACTACGTTACACGAGAAAACTTTTCGGCAATATTCAGGGGACTCGAGGCAGGCTATCATAATGAATACAAAAAAAACTAAAACAACAAACAGGTTTTTTCAATAAATCTGACTCTGATAACAAGTGCTTATCAAAAAGTGTGCAATAGAAATGGCGAAACAATTCAATGAATTAAAAGTTGCCGAAAAATTTGAAACAGTCTCAGTATTGCATCAAACAATTGCAAGACGGGTGGACCATATCAATGAACATGTATCCAAAAAATTGCGTGACGTGGTTGAAAAATGTAAATATTTTTCGCTATGCCTGGATGAAAGCACTGATCTGTCTGACTTTAGCCAGCTTGTAATTTTTATCCGAACTATTCAATACGACTTTAGTGTAGCAGAGGAGATGCTTGACCTTATTCCTCTCCTTGGTACAACCAAGGGTACAGATATTTTTGAAGCTGTGAATAAGTTGGTGCCAGACTAGGGGGGATTTGATAAATGTTCCTGTATTGTCACTGATGGCGCCAGAGCTATGAGAGGGACTGAAATTGGATTTGCAGTACTATTGAAACAAAACAGCATCAACTGTCCTATGATACATTGTATTGTTCACCAAGAGAGCTTATGTGGAAAATCTTTACGTCAAATAAATGTCATGAAAGTGGCTGTTAAAATAACTAATATTGTTAGAGGGGGCAATCGTGCTTTGACTCACAGAAAGTTTCGTGATTTTTTGGCTGAAGTGGATGCTACATATGGGGACCTGTTACTTCACACCGGTGTTCGTTGGTTAAGCGCCGGAAAGTGTTTGCAACGATTTTTCGCTCTACGCAAGGAAATTCCTATTTTCCTTAAAAATGAAGTGAAGTCCGACACTACGGAACTGGAAAATCAAATGGCAGATGCACAATTTTTAGCAGACCTTGCATTTTTAACAGACATGACATCTCATCTTAACGAACTGAATTTGAAGCTACAAGGAAAGCAGCAGAATATTGCCAACTTATTTGGACACATAAATGGGTTTAAGAATAAAATTAAGCTTTCCAAGTCTTCATTACAAAACATGATTTTTCATTTTTTCCTAGTTGTAAAGAACATTTCGAAGAAATGAAGGATTTTGAGGAAGTTTCGTATTTACCTCATATAAAATATATTGACACAATTGCAGAAGAATTCAAAAATCGATTTAGTGACTTTAAAAAAATCGGAAGCGACATTTCAGTTTTTACTCAGATACTAACAATTTCTGTTGTGAACGTAAGCAGAGCAGACCTTCAACTGGAATTGTGTGATTTGCAACCAGATCCTTTCTACCAAGGAAGAACTGAAACTGGCTTGGACTTTTTTAAGTTACTGCCAGGAGAACGATACCGCAACTTGCGAAACTTAGGACTTACAATGGGATCAAAGATGGCAAGCACGTATCTTTGCGAAAGACAAAGTATAGATGTTCCCTCTCTGATAAGTCACTTACTCAGTTACTTCGTTTATCAACAACAAATATTAATGTTAATATTGATGCATTAGTATTAGAAAACCAACATTCTCAAATGTCCCACTGATTTTTTTGTAATTTCATATTTTTTGAATAAATAAAAATAATAGAAAAACTATTTTTGTATACCATATAGTATATATCAATAATAATATTGTATAGAAAGATTTTATAATGCGGCCCTCCAAACTGCATTTTTTTTGAAGTGGCCTTTGGGCCACATTGGACAGCCCTGTTCTAACTAAAATTGTGGCTGACTTGTATCCATGATATGAAACAAACTGAAACCTATCCGACAACTATGAATTAAAAGGATCTATAAGCTTATCAGAGAAACCAAAACTAGAAAGCTTTGACAATAGCTTTTTATGAGAGACTTTGTCAAATGCTTTCGAAAAGTCAATGTAGATAAAATCTACCTGTCCTTGTTCATCCAACACTTCTGAGATGAATTATTGTAATAGTTATTTTCAGTTAAATATCTTACCCACTAATATGATAGCTACTTCTATTGCACACATTTTGATTTTTAAAACTTATTTTCAATTACTTTTAACATTTTATTATTTATTATTTCAAGTATATATAGTATATGCAAAATGTATTAATTTGTTTTCAGGAGCATCAAGTAGCAGTGTATATAAAATGTTGGCAGAGCACAAAAGAAGCAGCAGTCTTTCTCTTCCCAAAGGTTAGCATAGAGCCAGAGTATGGGTGGATTCATCAGTTGAGTATCCCTGGCAAGTCTCTCTACGGGATTAAAGAATCCTTCAGATGAAGGAAAACGGCTAATTATCTTACACATCGGATCTGATAATGGCTTCGTGGAAGACGGACACTATTGGTACTTGAATCAAAACAAGCAGGAAACTACCACGCCGATATGAATGCCAATTTATTTAAAGAGTGGTTTGAAAATATTATAAGCCATCAAGAACAGAACGCTGTCATTGTTATGGACAACGCAGTGGAAACAGAAAAAGAGCAATTCAGGAATGGCTACGAAGGCATAATGTTCCCTTCGACAACGATATGGTCAAAGCAGAACTTTTAAATCTGGCAAGGGCAATAAAAGTCCTGACAAGTATGTCATCGAGGAAATGGCTTAGTCTACCCAATCGGACTATTTTACGCCTGCCTCCTTACCATTGTGAGTTTAACCCAATCGAGTTAATTTGGGCGCAAATTAAAAACAAAGTTTCCAGAAACACAACATTCAAGATCGCAGATGCAAAGCAGTTCTTTTACACCGCGGTACAAAATGTAACTCCGGAAAATTGGAAAAAAGCAATCGAACATGTTAAGGAGGAGGAAGAAAAAATGTGGAAAACCGACCAATGTATGGGAAGAGTGGTTGAACCAGTGATTATTAACTTAAGAAACGATTCAGAATTTGTATATTTACTGGATAATGCCGAAGGACCTATATCCCTAAACATACTTATATAATTACCATATTTATTTCTACGGCTCTGTTCGTATAGACTTCAAAGTAGGTTATCCCAATCCTGTGTTAATCTTGACCGCTAATTTTGAAGGAGCCCTCCGTCCAAGTTTTTGACGTTATCAGTTTTAGTTTGACTTGTGGATTGCCGACATAAACGGTCAGGATTACACATGATTGGGATAATCCACTTTAAAGTCTATCCAGATAGAGCCGTCGAAATAAACGTGGTAATCAATGCAGGTAGATTCATTGTTAGGTATTATATTAAAAAGATCCAGAATCCAATCTAAAAAAGAGTTTCATTTTTGAAGTCTTTTCTTTATTTTTTTCCCATGTATTGAAATTATTTTTGTAATATAAACAATATATTTAATATATCAATGTAATAAACCTTATATGACCTTGAAAGTAATGAAAAGATAGAAGAAACAGTGAAAATAAATTAAATGGTACCTCAATTAATTTTAAGACCTACACGCCTCTGGCGATAACACATTATCGGTTTTGCAGGTAGTTGTGCGGTGTAAATCGGGCTGTCCTGTCACTTGTTTTATTACTCAGTACGTTCCTTGGATAGATTATAAAAACATGATCTTACTGGATGTTTGTTGAATAGTAGGCCTTCTGTAATTTTATTTGTCTTCAAAGAATTTATTAAGTAGACTTTTGTCCAGCAACGAAAAAAATAGATGATCTAGTTTGACTGACCTGATGTAAACATTTATAAAGAGAAAAACATAAGCTTTTGCTGATAACCTCAATGGACATGGATTGTTCGAAATCTATCGTTATTTAAAATTACGCATCTCAGGTAAGTAGTGGAACTGTTATTTTCAATAAAATGCTCAGTAATTGATGTCATACCAACCTATTGTATTAGGTTTGATACTTGTTTCTACCAGGCCGCAAATCTCACTATTTGATTCATGGAATTGACGACTATCTGACAAATCTTTCTTTTTGACTGGTAGGCGTCTCGGACGCAAATTTATGCTCAGGGCCAAACTAGATAATAGCTTTTTGTACCTAAAAAAGGTGATATATGAAGCATTTCTCGATTTTATATAAGAATTAGAGGTCTATCTTTCGCAAATTGTACAGCTTTTCTCTAGTTCGAGAGATAGTTTTTAAAAATAAATTTACATTACTATATTTTTAAAATCGTGGAATGATTATACTGGAGTCGGTGCCAAAATAATATTGAAACAAGATTATCTTTCATAAAAGTGGATCATTTTATCGACGGTAAACAAGAGTACATTTTTTCAGCTTAAAGATCAGGCTTTCCCAAAATGTTATCTTTCATCTTTTATTATATAGGCTGCAAAAACATTCAATAATGATGTGTTAGGGTTACTTCGTCCCTGGATACCTAAATGAATAATTGTTTTTATGAACACCATTAAGTGAGTTCACAATCAGATAGTAAGCTATAAAATTTTTTTGAATGCAATGTCCGAAAGTTATTTGAGAAAAACTGTTTTCGAGCGGCATCCTTTAGGGGTCTGTATCATCCTGGGGAAGCCGTCGTAGGACATTTTTTGTAGACACTTGTAGCATAATTTTTAATGGTCTCTTTGCTCTTGAGAGGTTGAAATGTTATTCTATATTGATTCAGCTTATTTGTCTTGGGCAACCCACTTTCTCGACACGTACGTCATGTAGCTCCAGATCCTAAGCCATGAAGGGATAGTCACGAAAATGCAGTAGCTCCGAAAAAGAACAGAAATCACCGTTGAATTGTAATGGCGCAGTAGACTTCAATGGCAACGACAACGAATAGCATCTAGCAGGCGACAACAAAAGGAAAATCTCAGGGTGCTGTGCACGGGCACGCGATGCTCTCTCACAGGCCAACAAAAAGAACACCAGCACGGCACGACTTCGCTACGAGACAGATTTAATAATGAAGATATGGTCGGTAATATTTATACGACGTCGCCGATTTATTGCAGATTTCTAAGGTAGCTGCACAAAGAGACCAGATTGTTCACGAACAGTGACGTTGCTGATTTTACTACTTGATCATAAATCGGGGGATATTGTTACAGGATATAGGAAACGGTATAATATATTTCCTCTTCTACAGGGTGTTTCACAACTTATCCGAGAAAATTTAACCACATATGCACTGTTACGAAAGAAGTTGATTACTCAAAAAAAAAAATGTAATAAGAGTCCTACAGAAATCGAGATAATAAAATAATACAGTTTAACAGCTGGTCAAAATTGTTTCAATTGACTGCAATGCAAGCTTGGGCGCACTGAACGCTCAAATTCTCGGCAGCCACTGTGATTCGGTCACGCAATTCTTCAAAATTCTGAACTGAAGTACGGTACACTTCGTTTTTCAAGTATCCCAATAAAAAGAAGTAGAGAGGATTTAGATCGGGAGACCGTGGAGGCCATGCAATTTGTCCACCCCTTCCGATCCAGCGTATCTGGTATACTTGATTGAAAAAATCACGAACTTCTAAACAAAAATGCGGATGTGCCCCATCGTGCAGATACCACATCCGAGCTCTGACCGACAATGGCACATCTTAAAGAAAAACGATGTTGGAAGTGTGTCTAGACCACTGCGTGAAGATTCTCAAAGGAACAAACGTGTGTATTATGGAGATTGGTTATCCTATTACGAGTAACAACAAAATGGGCATTTCGCGCATTTTCTTGCAACAACCACTCACAACATCTTACTCTTAGGGGGTAGTCTGAAGGTAGCAACGCCTGGACTTTCTGGACGTGATAAGGGTACAGTTGGGCCTCATGTAATATGCGCCACGCTATTGCATGTGACACTTCTGGGACCTGTTGGACTAACTGCCTTGTGCTTATTCCCAGATTTTCTTCCACAATATCAAAAATTTCGTCTTCGGCACTTAAAACGCGTTGTGGGAGAACCCGGCCCCGATCCACTCCACGTCTGGGGTGCAAATCTCCACTAGCACATGCGCGTAAAACAATTGAACTAAATGTTCGTGATGTTGTATGTGCCTATTCTGAAATCGGTGTGCATACAAACGAGAAGCCGCTCGCGAATTTTGCCCTGCTTCTCCGTACGCTAAAACAATGTCCCCTAACTCCTCATTAGTGTACACATGTGCCATTTGGATTAATAAATAACTAAAAACACAAACTCGCAAAATACTTTCTTATTTAACTTCACAAAAATCGAACGCTGTTCATTCAGATCACCCACGATACAGATTAAACCTTATTTGTATGTTCCTATCAGTATGAAAAAACCAAAAAAATCCTGGTATTTTGTTTTCGTCAGTTGTTCTAATATCACGACGATGAACGAACATTTATTAATAAACTCAAGTTTATAACTTAATTTTTGTAGGACTTCTATTATATTTTTTTTGAGAAATCAACTTCTATTGAAATTGTCCTTACTGACAACGTTGGTAGAGGCTGGGACCAGCAGATGGTCACTTCTTTAGATCTTATAGCCTTCTCTAAGGCAATCTATA